GCGACATGGACCATCACAGGTGAGCAGTGTCACTCATAACCATGCTGGTTGGTGGTGGTAATGGTGCAGTTGTTGTTGGTGGTGGTGGTGATGGTGGTAATGATGGGTGGCAGTAGAGTTGGTGATGGAGCGGGGGGGGGGGGGATGATGGTGGAGATAGTAGCGATGACATGGTGGTGGTGATAGAGATGGTAGTGATGATTGTGACGGGGGTAGTGATGGTGGTGGTGATGGTGATGGTTGGAGTGATGGTGGTGATGAGGGGGGGTGATGGTGTGGTGATGGTGGGAGTGATGGTGGTGATGAGAGTGGGGTGATGGTGTGATGATGGTGGGAATGATGGTGGTGATGAGGGTGGGGTGATGGTGTGGTGATGGTGGGAGTGATGGTGGTGATGAGGGTATGGTGATGGTGTAATGATGATGGTGAGAATGATGGTGGTGATGATGTGGTGATGGTGTGATGGTGATGGTGGCTGTGTTGATGGTGCTGGTGATGGTGTGGTGATGGGGTGGTGGTGATGGTGGCTGTGATAGTGGTGGTGCTGGTGATGGTGTGATGGTGATGGTGGCTGTGTTGATGGTGCTGGTGATGGTGTGGTGATGGGGTGATGGTGATGGTGGCTGTGTTGATGGTGCTGGTGATGGTGTGGTGATGGGGTGATGGTGATGGTGGCTGTGATAGTGGTGGTGCTGGTGATGGTGTGGTGATGGGGTGATGGTGATGGTGGCTGTGATAGTGTTGGTGATGATGATGGTGTGGTGATGGGGTGATGGTGATGGTGGCTGTGACAGTGGTGGTGCTGGTGATGGTGTGGTAGAAAAGAAGGTAGAGGCGATGGTGGTTTTGACCACAGACAGGGAGGACTGGGCCTGCCAACGATCTGAATTCCATCATCTCCCCCACAGCCTCAATTCCCTGGATGACAACTCTGTGGACCTGGAAAACAACAAACAGATAATCAAGGCAAGATGGGGGATTAGTTGTTGCCTGGGGATTCTGACCTGGGGTCCTTCTCTGAAGGGGTGGGGCTCAGGGCAGAGCAGAAGCATCTGCTTCTGCCTTAGCGTTTCCGCTCCAGGCCCTGAGACACCTTATGGCTTTGGGATGGGTCCAAGCCTTGCTCCTCTACTAGTCACTGTGACCCTGGGAGGGTGACTTCTCCCTGGTTTTGTTTTCTCACCTGCAAATGGGGACCGGAACACCAGCCATGTAGGGCTGTTGTGAGGATGAAATAAGAGTGGGTATAAAAACCACCGGGAACCAAGTAAATGCTAAACTACCTGCTTCCCTGCCTTATATCCCTTAGAAAAGAGCTGGCAGGTGGGGGGAGGAGGTGTGGAGGTGAATATAACCTAGCAAAGGAGAGAAGGTAGGCTCACATGAACAACAGTACCATCATTGTTCAGTAAGTCTGCTGGTTCTATTGGCTCGAGACTTCACACAGCCTGGCTGCTGCTTAGAATCACAAGTGGAGCTCTTTATTTTCATTTTTATTTTTTAAATTATTTTATTGATTTTTTTTTTACAGAGAGGAAGGGAGAGAGATAGAGAGCTAGAAACGTCGATGAGAGAGAAACATCGACCAGCTGCCTCTTGCACACTCCCTACCGGGGATGTGCCCGCAACCAATGTACATGCCCTTGACCGGAATCGAACCTGGGACCTTTCAGTCCACAGACCGACGCTCTACATTGAGCCAAACTGGCTTCGGCTCACATGGGGAGCTCTTTAGAAGTACTGGGCCACAGCCCGGGGACTCTGATCCGAGGGCTGAGGTGGGTCTGGCATGGACGTGTTGTGAAAGCCCTCGGGTTCTCGTGTGCAGGCAGGATCGAGAAGCGGATGCAGGGTGGGCGCCAGAACCGGAAGGAACTACCATCTCTCCTTCCCATTTTGAAAGCCACCGCTGGAGAAGCAGCCCTAAGGCCCACTGAACTTCAGTAGTCTGCGGTTCTGTGTGTGGGGGATGGTTAGGTATCCACGGCCCTCTGTGTCCTATCCTCAGCTCTGTCCTGCTCTCTGGGGCTCCCCACCATTCCTTCAGCACTTAATTTCCCCGGAGAATGCCTTACGTGGAAGGACTTGGCCAACCCAAGCCTCTCGTGGGCATTGAAACACCAGGCTGTTGCACAGGGATCGGGCTGTAACATGGAGGCCTCCAAACAGGAACCCAAGGATGGGAGTCGTAGATGGCAATGCAGGCCACCAGGCAGGGGTAGAGGTCCCTGGGTAACCAGCCCATCTCTGGTTGAAGATGGGTTGGAAAACTCCAACGGACATGTTTAGGGGTCATGGAGGCAGAAGGAAATAGTCTTGCCTGCCAGAGCTGGTGGCCAGACAGGCGGAGGCCAACGCTGCTCCCCAGAGGGAAATGCAGTCCAGGCCCCAGCGAGGGGCTGGACCTGTGGGCTGGGAAAGGCGGGGAGCTCTGAAGAGTCTGGAGAGGAAAGGGCCCGGCCACTGAGAGTCTTCAAAGACAGGAGAGAGCCAAAACGGTCCTGGGATGGCAGGGGGTCATTATATTTCCAGAAGCTGCCTGAGGTCCCACCCCTGTAAGCAGCAGGCAGGCCCGGAGGCCCGGGGGCTGCCTCTTTTCTCCCATGACTGAGTGGGGAACACAGTGGGGCGCCTTTTTCCTCAGATCCCTGGTGCCCTGACTCACTCAAGACCTCAGTGTGTGTGGGAGAGGTACCCAGGGGACCATCCAATCCTACCGTTTAAAACAACCCGGGCCAGGGAGGGGTGCTGGGGTGCTGCCTTGCCCAAGGTCAGAACGCTTGCGGGTTGAATATAGACTAGAGCCCAGGTCTTGTCTCCAAGGCCAGCAGCAGCTTCCCGGGCGGGTTAGTGGGGAGGGCTCCAGGGAGCACACAGAGAATGTGGAGCCTGACCTGGGGCCGCTCTGAGGTTCCGCTGTTCACCAGGGAACAGCCCCAGCCTGAACGAGCCCTGTGGTCCCCCAGGAACGGTGCTGGGCTCAGCCTGTGGGCTCTGCTGTGCAGTAGCGGAGTCTGGTCTGCTGAAGGGCTCAGTTGTGAAGTGTGTCTGTTTGGCTGGGTGTGTGCCCATGTCACAAGGGCTGGGAGGAGGCAAGGAGATGTGTGGGTGTGCACCTCGACGGACAGAGTGAGACCCTGGCTGCAGAAGGAGATGTCGGATTGCACCAAAGGCCCCTGAGGTCGCCCAGGGTGACCGGGAGGGAGGGGAGCTGAGAACTGTGAGGGGACAGTAGAGAGTCAGCGTTGTGCTGCGGACAAACTTTAGAGCCAGCAAGGCCAGCGGCCCAAAGCCTGTGCGGCCCCTGTCTGGCCATGAGAGCCCTCTCAGCTTCAGTTTCCACGCCTGCAAAGTGGGGCACACAACTCCTCCCTCACGGGGTTCCTGTGGGCACGCCAGGCGATGGACGGACCGCGCCGTTAACGCAGCCTGCCCGCACGGTGCCTGCCGTGGGGTGCAGGTGCAGGAACTTGGCTGGGCTGGCTCGTTGGCACAGGATCCAGGGCCTGGCACTATTCAGGACCGGGCAGGACACCCAAGTGCGGCTGTGTCTGTGGAGGGGGCAAAGGCCAGAGCAGTTTCCCCATCCATGAGGTCCAGCCCTTCACTTGGGTCCAGCTGCACCTCCGGGGGCCTGGCCACCTCCGGGCCACAGTCAGAGAACGGAGGCCCCAAGAGGAGCAGGGTGGGACCCTGGCCGAGGAGCCACTGGTTTGTGTGGGCTGGAAGGCCTGCCCACTTCCTTAGGGCCTGGAGACATCACCCCATCTCGTCCCAGCCCTTCACGCCTCTCCTCTCCCCCCCTGCAGAGAGAGCCCCCACAGAGTCCGATGGAGCCAGACGCGGAGCCCCTGAGCGCGGTGCTGTCAGGAAGGGCGGCGGGCGCAGGTGGACAGCAGCAGGAGCTGTCCTTCATCAATGCTGGCCTGGACACCACAGACCTGTGACGGGGCCCCGCTCAGGGCCCTGCGTGGGCTCCACTCTACCTCGGAAGAGATCCTGTTCCCCCCAAATGATACCTACTGTCCCTGCATATTCTAATACACCGGTGTTGTGTTGCTCTGCTCCCTTCTGCCTGTAGCCAATCACAACTGATGCGAGTTGGGGGACCATTTTATTACCAAGGTACACTGTGACAGTTTGTAGCCAAAAACCAGGGCTGGAGGGGTGGGACCAGGTGTTCTGAGGGGTCTTCAGAGAGTCGTGGGGCTCACAGCACAGGGGAGACAAGAGGCTGGAGAGGGAAGCCTGGAGAGGACACCTGTGGTTGTAGGATGAGCTCTCCGTCCTGCCCCGACACCCAGGACCAGCGGCCACTCAGTCTGCCTGTGGCCCTGACCTGTAACCCAGACCAGTCTGAGGCCCTCTGACCTTTCTGAGACTCTCCTTTCAACTGCAGGGCCAGGGCACTCCTGCCGCTGCCCGCCCCCGCGCACCCCCCGCCCCCCCCCCCCAATTGTAAAGAGTGTCCTCTGAGGGAGCTGGGCTGGGTGAGGGGAGACAGGAATTGGGGATGACTACCAGCATGCAAGAGATGCCTGGGCCACGGGGAAAGCCCGTGGGGAGGACACGATCTCACACACGCCCAGGGCCTCACATTCGGAGCCTCGCACACTCTGGGGCCTCGCACACCCATCCTCGCTCGCTTGGAGCTTATGCACACAGTCTCTCACATTCTGGGGACCTGGCTGACACTGGCATCCCACCAGCCCTCAGGGCCGGGGTACTGAGCAGGTCCCTGAGGTCGCCCAGTGTGACTGGGAAGGAGTGGAGAGGACAGCTGTGAGGGGACAGTCGGGAGTCAGGGCTGGGCTCGTGGGCTCATGACCAGGAGGGAGCTGGGCGGAGAGGGTTCATTTGTGTGGGAGGGGAGAGGACTGAAAAAAGAGGACGAGAAGGCCCTAGAGAGCCTGCCCATGCCTTGGAGGCCTCCCAGGAATCTGGGCTCAAGAAGGGAGCCTGAGAAGGTTGGACACCGGGGCGTACAAAAGGGGAGCTGATCACTCGGCCGTGGGCCCGGCTCGGGAGCAGCACCTGGGCCGGCGCACGCTCTGCAGCAGCGCGCGGAAGAGGCCCGGCGGGCGCTTGGCGGCGCCCTCGGGGGGCGCAGCGCGCACCGACCCGGCCCTCCCAGGGCCCAGGCGGGGGGCCGGGGGCAGCGCGGGCGCCCCCTGGCGGCCGTGCTCCTCGATCTGCCGCTCCAGGTGCTTCTGGATGGCCATGCCCAGCACCTCCACCTCCATGGAGGCGCCGTACACCTCCCACGTCATGCCCTTCTCGTCCCAGCTCACGTCGCGCACGGGCTCGGCCGCCTCCGGGGGCGCCAGGGCGGCGGCCAGCGCCGAGCCCGGCCGCACCCGCACCTCGGGGAAGGCGGGCGGCGCGGCGGCGGGCGGCGCGGAGGCCTGCGGCGTCATGGGTCCGGTGGCCACGGAGCGCGTCTCGGCGGCCCCCAGCGACACCTGCAGGCCCGCGTCCCGGCGCGACGGCGGCCTGGGCGCGGGGCTGGGCGCGGGGCGCGGCGCCGGCTGGAAGCTGAAGGCGGGGCCGCCCGCGCCGTCCTGCGGGGACATGGGGCTCACGGCCACCGACACGCAGGCCAGCGCGCCCGCCTGGGTGCCCGCGTCCTCGCGCGGCGGCGGGGCGCCCGCATCCCACGACGGCGCCTTGGTGAAGTTGTCCCGAGTCCGCGGCCCCGGCGGGGGCGCATCGGCCTCCGGGCTGCAGGCCTCCGGGCTGATGGCCGGCGCTGGCTGCACCAGGCTCCCGCCACTGCTCCGGGCAACCGCAACCGAGGGAGAGGTGGCTGAGCCGCAGGCTTTTCCGGCTGGTTTCCTGGGTCCGGAGAGGGCCTCTGCCTGCTCCAGAGTCAGAGGGGGCACGTCCCCCAAGGACGGGGGCTCTGCTTTACCCGGGGTTGGGGGTGGAGCAGCATCTGCCTTCCCCAGGGCCGCAGGCTCCACCTTCCCAGAGGCAGCAGGGCCTGCTTTTCCCGAGGACCCAGGATCCTCCCTCTCCGAGGCCAGGGGCTTCTCCTTCTGCAGAGACGCGGCCTCGGCCGCTTTTCCTGATGGCGTGGGACCCTCCTGCGCAGGGGGCTTTGTGTCTGCGCTCCCCAAGGCCCCGGGGCCCACCTTCGAGGAGTTCACAGGACTCGCCTTCTCTGGGAGCAGAGCACCTGTCTTTCCCTCGGGGGCAGCATCGGCTTTCCCCGAGGGGGCCAGGGCCGTGTTCCCTATGGTCGTGGGTGCCACCTTTCCCGCAGACACGGAGTCCAAATCTCCGGAGGACACACTTCCTGCTTTCCCCCTGCTCACAGGGCCCACGCTGCCCATGGCGGGTTCCGCCTTCCCTGAGGTGGTGGGACCCACCTTTCCGGAGGCCATGGGTCCTGCTTTCTCTGAGGACAGGGGCGCTGCCCCAGCTTTTACAGAAGACGAGGGCCCCGCTGTCCCCAAGCCCTTGGGATCCCCGGGAACCGAGGGCACAGGGTCCGTCTTCCCTAAAGGGTCAGGACTCACTGTCCCAGAAGATGATGACGTTTTTATATTTCCCGCAGAAATGAGGGGGTCCGCTTTTCTGGAAGATGCAGAGTCCTCCTTTTCGGAGGACACAGCTCCTGCCTTTCCCACAGGTGCCAGTCCGGCCTGCCCAGGAGACAAGGGCTCAGGCTTTTCCGAGGACACAGGATCCACCTTCCCCAGGGGAGCTGGACCCATGTTGCTCAATGACCCAGCTCCCGCCTGCCCAGCAGACCCGGTCGCTGTCATTCTCACAGACACGGGATTGGCCTTTCTGGAGGAGGCAGGCTCGGTCATTCCCGGGGCCTGAGGGTCCTCTTTTGTAGAGGACACAGTTTCTGCATGTCCCACGGATACAGGATCGGTCATCTCCAAGCGTCCACCCCTTCCCGCTGACCCCGGAGCCACTGTCTCATGGGATATGGGCTCCATTTTGACTGGTGACCTTGGCGTCAGCATCGCCAAGGACCCAGGATCTGTCTTTCCTGCAGACGCAGAAGGGGCATAGTCCAAGGACCCGGGATCGGCCTTCCCTGCAGGCCCAGGATCTCTCCTTCCCAAGGACACAGGGTGTGCCTTGCTCGAAGATGCAGAGCCCGCCTCTTCTGAGGACACAGGAAGCTTCTGTCCCGAACACCTGGGCTCCTCCTGTCTTGGGCATGCAGGGCCCACTTTGGCCGAGGATACAGGATCCTCCTCTCCTGGGGTCCCAGGACCCATCCTTCCAGAAGCCACAGGCTCCCCCTTTCCCGAGACGGCAGGCTCTGTCTTTCCTAGGAACATGGGATCTGCCTTTCTCAAGGACCCGGCGTCTTCCTTCTCTACGCTAGCGGGATCTGCCTGCTTGGAAGGCTTGGCGTCCAACTTCTCCAAGAACTCAGGCTTTCTGCTCTCCAAGGATGAGAGATCAGTGTTCGCCGAGGACACAAGCTCCGGCTTCCCAGAGAAGGTGGCTTCTGGTGTTCCTGAGATCGAGGCTCCATGCGCTCCCACTTTGGTGGCTGCCTCCTGGGGAGGGATGCAAGTCAGGGATGGGCAGGCCAAACTCCTGCCAGGATCCTCCAAGCAGGAGGCCTCTTCCCCAGTCCCACTGGGGTTGCTGTGTCTGGAGTCCATGCCTGGGCTTTGGGCAGGGGTGTGGCTGGGGGGTTCAGGGCTGGCCTGTGGTGGGGAGGAGCGGTAATCCCTCATGGCCGGGCTCCCAGCCCCCAGGCTCCCATCCTGTGGGCGGCAGAGGGCTGTGGGCTGGGGTCCTCGAGGGCTGGGGTCCTTTCGAAGCCACGGGAGCCAGGCTGGTTCTTCAGCACTGTCCACCTGCCCTCAGGACCGTGCTTCGGCGCCAGGCTGCTGTCCGGTGCTGAAACACAGAGAGAGTGGACTCAGGCTCAGGAGAGACCCAGCGGAGAAGAGCCTCCATCTGGGCCTCCTCTCTCCCACCCTCCTCCCAGCAGCCAGGCCTCCTCACCAGATCCTCTGCCCGGGTCTGGGCTAACAGCACAAACTCTGACTTCTAACATGGCATTCAAGGCCCTTCACAATTTGTGCAGTCTAACTTTCAACTTCCGTTACCTTCACCCTTCCTTGTCAGCCCACCCCGTGCTGCCTAGAAATTGTGCTTTTTGTCCTTTAGCCCACGGGCCACAAACCCTGAGGCGAGGTAGTAGTTTAAGTGAGGGAAGCAAGCTAAGCATAAAACAATAGGGAGTGGTGAAGACTGCCGCAAACCAGCGAGCATGCTCCGTCTAAGGGGAGAACCACTACTTCAGCAGCCAAGCATTGTTCTGGAGAAATGCATCCTGGTAGTGCCGGCGAGAAGTGGGAAATCCGGCACTTTAATGTAAAATGTCCTAATTAATTCAAGATAAAACAAACAAACAAACCACAGCACTCTGGGGGCTAAATAAAATATGTCTGTAGGCTACCAGTTCTGTCTGTGTAGGCCCTGGGGAGCTGTGAATACTTGATAGTCTAAGAAGGGATAAAGCCCAACATGTGTGCTTTCAAAGATGGCTCTGGAATGGTGTGGAGGCGGGGCTGGAGGAGAGGGGCTGGCCAAGGCTTACAAGGAGGCTAGTCATTCATTCATTCAATCTCATTTACCCAGTGCTTCATTCATTCACCCAGCCCCTCTGCCACGGACCCTGAGCAGCTGCAGTGGTCTGGACGAGAGGTTCTGGAAAGGTCCCGGGGAATGGGAGTCGGCAGGATTGAGAGCTCTGAGGGAAAACTGACAGGAACCAGCTGGCTGTAGGGGGTGCAGGTGGGGGTGGACTGCAGGATTCTGGCTGGGGGTGGGTGGGTTGCCAGGCAATGGTGCTGGGCAGGAGATGTGGGGAAAGGAGGAGTTGCATTATGGACAAGCCAACCGTGTGGTACCTGGGGGACAGCCAGGGAGAGGATCTGGCAGGCGGCTGGGTCTGCGAGCAGCTCTGTTCCCTTACACGCTCAGCAGCCAAAGTGAGCTTGAAGCCCGCTCTTCCTGCCTCATCTCCAAAGCCACCTTGCTATGTCGCAGGCCCAAATCCCCAGAGTCACCCTTAACTTTCTGTCACACCCTTAAAAAATCCCACCCATCAGCAAAACATAAGGGGTCTGCTTTCAGAATATACCCAGGATCTGGCTACCACCTTGAGCTTAACCTGTACTATCTCCCACCTGGATCATCCCTGCTTTTGCTTTTTTCTTCATCCCAAACAGCTCATTCTCAACACAGCAGCCAGACGGATGGTAATAGGACTCAAGGCAGATCATGGTCCCCCAACCCCCGTGCTCAGAACCATGCAAGTGTCTCCTCAATCTTATGCGAAGTTAAAGTAACTTTCTTATAGAGACCCTATAAAAAATTCTGCATTTTTCTGGCCCCAGTACCTCTCCCTCGATTATGCTGCTTTGGCCATACTGGCTGCACGGCTGATCCTCAAACACCTCCTACCCCAGGACCTTTGCACTGGCTGTCCTCTCTGCCTGGAATGCTTTTCTGCCCCATATCTGCATGGTCTGCTCTCTGTATAAAACAGCCTCCTCCCCGGCACTGGCTGCATCTCGCTTGCCCTGTTCAGATTTTCTTCATGGTACCTGTCACCATCTGACATATTACATTGGTTAATTGTTTATGGCTTGGCTTTACCATTAGAATATCAGCTGTATGACGGTAGTTGTGTGTGTGTGTGTTGAGGCGGGGGGAGGAGGGTTGTTGGTGTGTACCGATGTATCCTCAGAGTCAAGAAAATGATTAGCAAGTAGTAAGCTAGTAGCTCCCAATAAATATTTATTGAATGAATGACTGAGTGATCTTTTAAGATGCTGGTCCAACCACGCAATTCCATGCAATTTACTTCGCCTGGCTCTTGCTGGGGAGGTAAATTGGCTGTAATCTTTTTGAAAAGACATTTATCAGTTTCAGTGCACATAGCATCTGGGCCAGCACGCCCACCTCCAGGGATGGCCTTGCAGACAGACTGGTGGTGCACAGAGGTGAGGAGGACATGGCTGGTGATGAGAAGAAAACCAAGAAGTGTGTTCAGAAAGTGCAGGAAACCCCTGGCACCCCTCGGAGCTGTCAGAATGTGCGGAGGGAAGAGGAAAGATGTCCAGAATAAAATAAGTGGAAAAAGCCCGGGACAGCATGGCCAGAGGGATCCCATGCATGTAGCCAAGGTAAAGGACAGACTCACATTTATAGTTTAGTTATGAAAAGAATGTTTCTAGAAGGAAACTTATGTAATTTTTAAAAAATATATTTTTATTGATATTTTAAAGAGAGGAAGGGAGAGAGATAGAGAGCCAGAAATGTTGATGAGAGAGAAACATCAACCAGCTGCCTCTTGCACCCCCCCCCCCCCACGGGGAATGTGCCCGCAACCAAGGTACATGCCCCTGACCGGAATTGAACCTGAGACCTTTCAGTCCGCAGACCGACGCTCTACCACTGAGCCAAACCGGCTTCGGCTTCATTGATTTTTTTTTTTTTTTTTGGAGAGAAAGTGGAAGGGAAGTGGGGAGGGAGGGAGAGAAACATAAATGTAAGAGAGACATATTCATTGATTCCTCCAGCACAAGCCCCAACCAAGGTTGGGGATAGAACCTGCAACCCAGGTTATGTGCCTTTGATCAGGAACTGAACTTGCAACCCTTCAATGCACGGGTCTACACTAACCACTGAGCAACACTGGCCAGAGCTATGCGATAGGTTTGAAGCACTGGAGAGGTCTGGCTGGAAGTCTTTGGATCTGGTTTTTAGCAGCATGAGAAAACAATGAGTCGGAAGGTCACTGGCCCACAAGGATCAAGCAGGCATCAGATTTGAGTGATATGGACTTCATTTTTTGGCTCCAGATGATGAAATGGGCACAGGGAAGTGTTTTTCTCCCATAAGAAAAACAGCAGAGTAAGTGACATGATTCAGTCACTTACTGAGTGGTGGGGACTGTAGTAAATGAGACAGCAGTGACTCCTTCTAGCACTAAGTTCTAGCTGATTAGGAATTCATTTATTCTCATTTTTTTTAGAGAGGTGGGGGAGAAGGAGGAGGAAGAGAAAAGAAAAGTGAGGAGAGGAGAAGAAAAGAGAAAGAAGAGAAGAGGAACATTGATGTGAGAGAGATACATCCATCAATTGCCTCCCCTACACGCTCTGACTGGGGAGTAAAGCCACAACCTAGGTATGTCCCTGACTGAGAATCGAACCTGCGGCCTCCTCCTGCACAGGACGGTGCCCCAATCAACACACTGGCCAGGGCAGGAATTCATTTATTCATTCACATGTGCATTGTTCTTGGTACTAGGGATACAGCAGTGACTAAGAAATGCACGGTCCCTGCCTTCCGGGTGTGGAAAGACTGGGGGACAAGCAATCCACAAGTAAGCAAAAGAATCATGTAATTTCAAAAAAATAGATGCGGTGAAGACAAAAGAGTGGGCAGCTGGCTTAACACGTGCTTGAGGAAGGCCCCTCTGAGGAGGTAACGGCTGAGGCAGCCATGGAAGGGCCTGAGGGGCTGGAGTGGAATGGGAAGGGGGAGAGGGAGGAGGCGGGCGGGAAGCCAGCACGCAGGCCTTGGGGGAGAAGCGAGGGCTTATCCGAAGGCTGCTGGGAACCCTGCAGTGTCTGAAGCAGGGAAGGAAAGGTGGCTCTTGCACGGCCAGCTCTCATTTTTTGAGCAAAGTCACCAACTTGGGTTTTCCTATATTTTTAATGTTGGTTAATGTAAAAAATACTACACAGGCCAGAGGATTCACTTTTGTGGGCCAGTGTTGACCCCTAGGCCACTTGCTTGAGACCTCTGATCTATCTGGTCCTTTGGCTATAGAAAAGGAGGTAATAAGCCAGATCGACTGGGTAGATGGCAGAGAGAGAGAGAGAGAGAGAGAGAGAGAGAGAGAGAGAGAGAGAGAGAGAGAGAGAGAGAGTCCACGTTCTGTGCTCTGTTCTTACTTTTCAGAGGAGGAAATTGAGGTCCTGAGGGCTGGGTCTGCCAGCCATGCCTCCTCTTAGAACCTCAGTTTCCTCTTCTGGAAAATGGGAATTCAATAGCTGCCTGGCAGGTGTGTGTGGGAGGGTTTGGGATGGCGCTGAAAGGAGTTCACAGGCTGTAGGAGGGACGCTCTGGGTCCTCACTCCCGCTTATTTCACCCTGGGAAGCCCAGCCCTGGGTCCCCTCACACTGGTCCCTCCAACAACACCAATCAACAAGCTCCCTCCCCTGGGGGTGGCCTAGCAGAGAGACAGGACTGCTCCCCATTCTCCAGCTCTGGGACCTCAGGTAAGTCCCTCCTTCTCACTGGGGACCCCCCTGCTCACTGAGGGCTGCTGTGCAAATTAACAAGAGGAGAGGCGTGCGCAGCTCTGCACCCTGGGGCGGCTGTGTCTGTGGAAGGCCTGTTTTTATCTACTCAGCCTGTCAGCGCCCAGCTGTGCTCCCAGGAGGGGGCAGGGGAGGGAGAGCCTGCAGCAGAGGCACAAACTGGCAAACCCAGTCCGCAGCTACGCTTGTTTGACCCAGAGTGCTAAAAAAAAAAAAATTTTTTTTAAAGGAATTAACTTCTAAAAGTTAGATGATTCCATGTGAAAACCATTTTTCTAGATCCTCTTGGAAAACTAAAAATTGGCGATCTGAGCTTGCTTTCTGCATGGCAACAGTCAGCAGGAGCCAAGCAGTGACTGCCTCGTTAGCTAGAGGTGCACTCTCTAAT